AGGTAATACAATTTGAATTTATAATCATAACTATAGAGGTGATCTGCAGATTATAATTTTATTGGAGTATCAGATCTTAATCCTTTTCAACAAGAAAACAACATTTTATTTCCATAAATCATATTTAGAGGATTTAGCTGTTAACAAGTGAACTAGATCTGGGAAATTTTTACTTTATAGGTATTTTTATACTTGTAATGGTTTAGTTTTTGATTAAATAAATAAATAATACTAATCTGATTGTGGAATTAAAAAATAAAAATAAAAATAGATAAAATAAAATATATTAAACAAAAAAAACTCTTTTTTATATACAACTTTTTTTTTAAAAAAATTTTTTTTTAATAATTATTTTTTAAAATTAAAGAAACAAATATTTTTTTCATCTTTCAACATCTTAAAATCCTTTATATATTCTTTATTTTTACTACAAGAACCTCAAGAAAATTAAAAAAGTATACTAATATATCAGAATAGGATTTCTGACCAAAGAAAAGCAAGTTTGAAGACCTTGCTTTTTCTTTGGATTGTATAAAGAAAAGCCTGTGACAATTACTTTTTTATAAATCTTTCTTGAAGTTTTTTCCATTTTCACTTCTTATAAATATATATTTCTTATTAAATAACTATATTCTTTTCTTAAAGATTTTCTTTGAAAATCAAAAAACCAATCATATATTAAAAATGTTTATATTATTGACTTGGAGGATTAGCAATATACAGTATTTATTATTTACTTTTTACTATTCAAAAAAACTTCATAAAAAAACTACAATCAGTTTACTCTTGTCAATTAATCAATATTTAAAAATTGTATTTAATAATATTGATTAAAAATTTTTATAAAAATTTAATAATATACAGTATATAATTATAAATAATTACTTGAATAAGTTTATTATAAATAAATAAATTAACATTATATAAGTATAATATATAATTTATAAAGTATAATTATTAAAACATAGCTTTACTTTAATATAATAAATATAAATTATGTTAATTGTTCAAAAATAATATATCAAGTATATTAAATATATCAAATATATCAAATAAATATTAAATATATCAAATATATCAAATAAATATTAAATATGAATTATACAATAGAAAATATAAAAGTAATATGAAAATACTTAAAATAAATATGAATAGAAATAGATATTACATAATAAAAAATTTTATTGCATAATATTTATCTTAAAATTGAGTTATTTATTAAAAAAATAATTATAAAATAATTTATATTTAAATAAATAATCATAAAATATAATAAAATATTATTATTTGTGTTATAAATCAAATATAAAAAAAAATTAATGATTATATAAAAAACAAATATGACAATTTTAATATTAAAATTTGAGATTCATTTACTTTGGCTACAAATAATTGTACTGTACATACTTATAATTAAAAAGTATAGAATTGTTAGATTAAAAAAAAAGAGTTCATTTATTAAACAAGTGTTGTTGTTTTTTATCAATAAAATAATAATTAATTAATTGTAAAAAATTTTATTTTATGCTGTAATATTATAATTAATAATGCAAATTATGCTAATATTAATGTTTATAAGATATTTATTGTATATACTATATATATTTATATATATCAACATTAAAAAAACTTTAGATAGTAGAAAATATTGCAATCAGCGGTACATGTTCAAGAACCACATGCTTGGTTTTTTACATTGGCAAGATCATATATTTATAGAATGATTGGTGTTTTGGTTGATTGATCTTTTTAAAAAAGAAATATTGAGCAAATACGTATAACCATTTTATGATATAATAATTAACTAAACTTCTATTATAAGAATATTCCAAAAAAATTTTTTACATCCTCAACCACGCAACAGTTGTGAGGGGTGTATATTTCTTTTCATAAAGTATTATTGTATTTCGTGAAAATATTCTGAATTCCATTTAACATACTGTACATGCATTCTCCTTCATTCACAATTAATAAAGATTCGAATATGTGTCTTCCTAACAAAGATTCCACATCTAATGTAAGATTTATTAAGTGGGCCATGACCACTTAAATTTTTTCTATGCATGCGAGTCTATGCGATTCCAATTTTCGGAACCCCAGTGGTCACTTAATAAGGTACATACTATGTGAATACGCGTCTAGAATGCAACATTATACTACTGCATGTACTGTATAAAGGATCAAGAACACGTACTAGCATTTATCTGTGTATGCCGATTTTTGCATTCTTATCTGAAATCCGCTTTGAGAAAATTCTTTATATGCCATGCGAATATGGCAAAGAAACATACAATGAGGCTAAAAAAGGGAAATATAAATGGAAAAAGAAGTTCGGTTCCTGGTCATGTGAAGAATTCCACCACGTGAAATAAAATTCACCTCTCACTGAGGCGAAAGTGCATCGTAATATTTATGTAAAGCCTTTACAATGAATTTGGATTAAATGGTTCAGGGATATTCACACAACGAACGCACCAAACATAGGTTATTCTCTTTCATATAAATGACATGATTATTAATAGCTTGACAGGGGAGAAATAATGTTACGTGACACGAAACAGCTTAGCTCGGTATCGTCATAATGCATTGTGTGCAAATGTGAGACAGTTCGCTCCAAGCGAAGAATTTCCGATGCCGCAAGCGTGAAAGCGATACAAGCGACGCTGTACCAAATGCAATGAACAAGCGATAATTTTATTTACGAAACTAATTACGTGCTGTGATATTTGTATTCGTAATCCATTTTCATTAGATGTGATGGCGCTTTATACATCGGTGTTTAAGTATTCCCTTGTGCATGTGTGTACGCATTATGTTCTTTAACTTTGGTTACGTGATAATTTCTGAAACTAATAATCTCACACATGAACGTGTTGACGTCGGAGTTAAAGGATACATGTTAGTTCGTGAATGTGCTGCGCTGGCACGTCTAGACGGAGTTTGTGCGACGTTAGTGGGTTCCGCGATGTGGTCACGAGTATTAAATTGAAAGCGTTCAGTAGATCCTTTATTAGCATAATCAATCAAAGCGAAAAAGCATTAAAAAGGGTTAATTAGTATAAAAATGGAATTGCGTCTCTCGCTAGTAATACACAGATGAAGAGGATGCAGCGTGAACATCCTGTTGAACCAAATTTATGTTGAGCGTAATAATAAAAAATATGCGACGCGTTAAAACACTCGTTAAACGCGGTGCGTACGTGCATGTCATACAGTATACGCGCGCATTGGGCTCGCATACAATCTTTAATACGATGATGGCATGCATTATCTATGATCGGTGAGATGTTACTCCCATCCACAGTGATAGTAAATTGAACATGAGATTACGCATGAAATTTCATATGTCACAGGTTAACCACCTCGCCTTCACAAACGAAAAATTGTAATCGTTTCACGATTACCTAAAACGAAAGATCAATGGATTTACGGTATCCGACAATTGTTTGTGATTTCGCACACGAAAATCTGGACTCGGACCGCATGTACTAGTTAGGCAAAAAAAAAATTTTTTTTTAAACTCCGGTAGAATAAGCCAATCTGAATGAAAAATTCACGTCATAGTATTAGGTTACATAAGGATTAGATATTTCAAATTCGCACATCTGGTTGGTCGATCGAGTTGTCATCGGTTAGTTATCAATTAATTGATCGTCCTTTTGCTCCACATACGGTTCAAAGATGCACGCACTCGTACACATCCACCTAACCTGTACGGAGGCGTAGATAGATATTCGAACAAGATGGACTATTCTTGGGAAAGGGCATGCCGATGCCGTAGAACGCTAATGTCGTTCCAGATCTCTCCTCATTCAAGTGTACGCTTCACTTAATTAATAAGGTTACCACCGACCAAAGCGCATGAATCAATCATTATGTAAATTACGACGATGAATGGTAAGTTTTTTTTGCTATCGGCTACTTGTGTATTTACTAAATTGCGTAATCCGAAACGATGATTAATAAAGAAGATTGGATGAGTTGCCAAATCAGAAGGTTTCATGTGTAAATGAGTCCGCGGGGGGGATGAACGATGATTCATTTTTGTTTGCAGAATCATGCTTATCCGTCACTCCAAGACGCACATCAAATTATAGTAGGCATTCGTTCTTACCATATTAGCTAAGGAATTGGTACCTCGGTATATGGACATTGTAGGCAAAAGGAGAGAACACATCACAAGACATTGTACACCAATCCGTTCGTATATACCAACTTTGCTTCAATCAACATTTCCTTTGTTGTTGATCCATCCTTATCGATCAACTTTTTACAGTAAATTCTTTCCCTCTCAAATTTTTAATGTGGTTAACGAATAGTAGACGAACTGCTTTATTTAATCGAATAACCATACGTAACAGTTTTACATATTGTCCGTACAGACGTCGCACATATAGTGCATTCACTCAACCCGTACCCGGTGACAGTAATGACCTGTATACATCAAGCGTCGCATAAATTCGTAAGCACGCCATATCAACAATCGTCACGCCACATAACTTTTACAATCAAGATTAGTTTGAACTAGATAGCGACCAAGTAAAAAAAAAAAAAAGTAGAAGGCAACCTCGCCAACTTACCGCCTATGTTTTCGTATAAACACTGAATCTGTGTGTATGCGCGCATTTTTAAAATGGGTACAACAATTTCAATAGCGGGAATAGTACAAGAATGTTGGGACGTACGCACTTGCGTGTATGTATGTGCCTTATGCACCTTAATGAAAATGATTCTTCAACAACAATCGAGGGCTTGGTCATTCTGATAAGGGATGTGAAACCATTCGGCTTCTGGAGAAATTCGATTTTTGGAGAAGTGATAATCAGATCCCGTATATGCAAAAACAGTTAGCACACGTTACTGATTCTAGCGTAAATCTGGTCTTATGGTATGTACCCACCAAATTCCGAGATTAACCAAGGCTTTCAATCATACTAATCGAGGAGTTTTTTTTTCCGTTATCCATTAGTTCCAAATAAGGTTTTAATTCACGATGCTAATTATGTAGTCCTTGATTCATAGTGCCAAGTCGAATCCGAAAGTATTACGTACGTTGTGTGAGCAAAATCGGTTCCATTATCATAACTGCTATTATCATCGTCCATTCCTCCGCTCTTCTTTGCCTGTTCAGCTTCTGCCCTATATCATAAAGGATTTCCCACATTAGTTAGTTCAACACTTAAACGAACATTAGCTTGATTTATCTCTAACAGCTGGACTTCATCTACCGGTTCTCTCACCAAGGAATTTGCTAATTGATGTAACATGACCTCTGACAATTCTTTTTTTTTTCTTTGTATCATGTTTGCCGAACATCTAATTGTGGTTACTCCTTTCAGAATTCTTCGGTGCGATCATAACAATCCTAATATACCCGCGATGATCTTAGTGTAAATTCGGTATGATTACACCTTCGCCAAATTTAACACATTAGGTAAAATCGGGTTTGCGCTCAATTCCGTACCGAACGAATAAATGAGAAAATCCGAAATCTTGATTTTACCTGGACTCATATATGTTTACTATATGCATATGACCTAAACCATCAGAAAGAATCACACTACTTACACCCAGGGCTTATTATATCCTGATGATAGCATGAGCATTCGTTCCATTTCACACATCTACGCCTTCATTATCATTTCGTTCTTAACTAATAAGGTAGTTATTTTATTTTATTTTATTAAGCACCTTCATTGGCATTTACAAAAATGGTAGGTAGTCCGTTCAACATATTTGCTTACTTGTCACTTGCGTTTTTGTTGAATTTTGCTTCAAACATTAATTAAGTCTTTCAGGCATCGCATTGCCTAATAAGATTTATTATTATTATTATTTTCTTTACACCATTTCGAATTACGAATCACAGATTGTTCGAAGTGTGTGACTCATCTCTCTGAACGACTTATGCACGCATGAATAACATTAGCTAATACGGTCGGATTAAATTTAAAGAGTCAATTAATAATACAGTTGGAACGGGTTAATTACTACAAGATTAGATAAAATATTGATCGTTGATGATAATACATACGGTGGCGCCGAGCGCAAGGCAATCTAGTGTGTGTGTGATAATAAGGTGCTAGATAAGAATTTTGGATTTTCCTTTATCGTGCATGAGATCCTAATACGTTGTTGGAGAGAGAACCCGAAAAAGAGAACGACGTTCATAATGATGTTCATGCATGATACGTGCATGGTTACATACACAAAAAAAAATTTTTTTCTTTCTTTTCTTTTTTTTTTTTTTTTATGTAAACATACACTAATATTTGAGCCACGAATGTTAAAATGATCGAACCAATCAGCGAAGGACTAAGAACTAGCCCTGGTGATGTTCGGAAACCGGAATTCTTGTGAAGCCTCATTTTCAATTTATACTTTATAGGAATTACCTTGACAGCACGTGCGGTTTCAAGCGGTGCGTGCTGATATGACAATTACTATTTCCTGTTAAGTTTTACACACGCCCTTGACGTTTGATTACTCGAACTCCGTCAAGTATTATACTGCATGTCCATGTTTGTCATATCGTGATAAAGTATCACCATACAGTACATGTGCGCTTACTTTTTCCGTAGGCAAAAAAAAAAAAAATTTTTATAAAAAAAAAATTTTTTTTTTTTTACTACCATATTATATTTTTTATTTGTTTTATTTGATTGCATACTGGTTATCGTACATCGGCGTGATGTGTGGACGCTTATGTCTCATTATAATGTGAATATTGTTTGCTTGAGCATAAATCAATCACGAGGGATTTGTGGCGCAACAAGGATGCCCACCCTTGCGTCGCATCCCAAACCGCATACATTTCATTTATGCACGTGACCGTTAGATAGCGCACCTGTCCACCGAGTGAATGAATGCATAATCCTACTCGAACCAAACGCCGATGACCATGCTCTCGCGTAAACCTTTGTGTAAATTATAAAGAGGGTGCATTCAGCCAGTAGCCGATGCTGCCTTACGTTGTTTGTAAAGGTAAGAGAAGGTGACCCGTTAAGAAAATTTCCTTAAATGAAGGTGCAGCAAAGTTAATGCCGAGAAAAGTATTCTTAATCGGATTTCCAAAAATCTTTTTCAAGAAATTGTACACAAATGATACAAACGATGACGTCCAACTATACAATACATGATCCATACTTGTCTTGGCTTGTATAGAATATTAAAATGCAGAGTGTGTGAAAAGCACACAAGACACTGTTCAATTTCCATGTAACGGTCGCACACACATACATTACCGACAGGTTTATTTATTTATTATTCGTTTTTTTTTTTTTTTTTTTTTTTTTGCACAACAAAACAGCGCGTGATATGTAAGACGCGTGATCTAACGTACACACTAATTAAAAAAAAAAAAGGAGCTGCTCAAATTCTAGAGTGCAAACCAGAATTAATTAAATCCCAAAAGAGTTGCTTTATAATCCGTAATACAATCGAAGTAGCAATTCCATCTGGATAATGTTAAAACCTATCAAGGCGTAATATGCCACGAAGTGTTTACGCATCAAAAATGGTATTATGCTATATCACACAAGTCTCTTCCATTTATGGGTCCAAATGTTTACGATAATAAATATGCAAAGCCGGGAAGAGGAAGAAGGACATAAGATTGGGGTAATAAACAAATCAGCGTTAGATATTAAAAGTATGTGATCTATTAAGTTTCAATCTTTGTTGTCGTATGTAAGGTTTCAATAATTTGTTTACAACGAAGTGGGGTGCAAATATTTTTTTTTTTTTTGTGGGGAAAGGATAAAAAAACTATCGATGTCGCGCTGAAAGTAAACAACTGTTTGATATTATACTGGGAGTTATTCTGGGTGTAAACAATTGTTCGAAAAAAGGTATCATTCATTATTAGGTGATAAGCAAGCATTAAAATCTTATTATTATTGTTGTTTTTGTTGACAGTTGTAAACAATCGGACTTCCTGGATGCATTCTATCAAATTGCAAAGAAAAGGAGATGGTGTTATCGTACTTACAATTTTGGAGGGTGCCGAATCTAGGCTTACCTCGTCGAATTTAAGGTTTTTAGCGCATTAAATTCACAAATTAATCACGAGATAGGTTTCATGTAAATTCGTTGTTTTTCAAACGCTTTGCTTGCATTGCATCCGTTATCCAAGTAACAAGATACCAAGCGGCGCCTGAATGGTGAACCCCTTCGAGGGCTCACGATTTTAGGGTCTTGAGATATTGTGTGATTGCAAACAATTTGTGGCGTGAAATAAGATTGGAAAAAAAAATAATTCGATTTAAATTCACAGAATAATTGCAAAACTTGGTTATTATTATTATTATTATTATTACAATTAGTATATACTGTATACTGTTAAGTATACTGAAAATAATTATAAAGTGATTTATTTCATCAAAATTATATTATTTATTTAAAAAAAATCTTAATAATAAAGAATTTAACTTTGTGTTAAAATTAATATAATTATACATAGCAATTGGTTTTAAACAAATAATTACTGTATATATTACGTAATAGAAAAAATAATTATATTATTATCTTCTTTTTCTTCTATGATATTACTTTGTTTTATTATTTTTTTATTATCATTTATCATATTTATGTTACCTTTACTTATTCTATTTGTATTACTTTTACTTTTAATTTTATTTAAAATAGAAAACACAATACTTTCAAAATAATTTTTAAATTAATTTTATTTTATATAATAAAATTTTATTTAAATTATAATTAAAAATAATATAAAAATAAATAATATATTGTTATAAGATTGTTTATTCTATTACAATATTATGAATATATAAAAAATTATAATCTATTACAATATAATTATTAATGTTAACTTTTATTATTTGAATATAAATAATTAAATTATTATAAATAAATAATTTTGTTATTGATATAACAAACTTTAAAAAAAAAATTGTAATTAATAGAATTATTATTAAACTTGATTTAATAAAAAAAAGCTATTAAAAATATCTTTATTAAATAATTATCAAAATATCTTAATTATAAAAATTATAAAGTATTATTAACATAAATTAATTTAAATTAGTTTAATAATTATTAAATTAAATTATTATATTTTAATTAATAATTAGATATTTGTTAATTGTTTGAAAAAATAAAAATAAATTTAATTTTTAATATTAATTAAAATCCTAAAATTGTAAATTAGTAAAATAATTATATATTAAAAAATTATAAATTAAAAAAATTTGGTTGAATATAATTTTAGAAATAAATTTATAATATTAATAATTAAAATATAAATTAATCAAATATAAAATTTTATTAGATTAATTATTATTTTAATAAAAATATAATTTAAAAACATGTAAATTAAATGGTTTAAATTATAAAAAATATTTAAATTATAGTTTTAAAATATTTTTTTTAATAAAAGTAATATTAATAATATGATATAATAAATAATTTATGATAATATATTATTAATTTATTTTAATGTTATTTTTAATATATATTATTATTAAATAATTATTTATAAAATATAAATTAAATTATTTTTATAATTCAAAAATAATTATTTAATATATAATATTTATTAAATCAATATATAAATTTATAAATAAAACATATATTATATATTAATTATTTATTATTTTGATATATATATTTTTTATAGATTTTTTTATTATCCATTTAAAAAAGATTTTTTATAAAGTTTGATATTTTTTATATAATTTAATTTTATTTTATTTATTTATTTATTTATTAATCACAAATAAATATTAAATATGAAACTTTTATTAAATAAAAATTTATAGTTATTATATTAAAAATCTTTTATATATATTATAAATTAATTTTAATTTATTATAATTTTTACTAGAATATTAACTTATATTTTATGGGTAGATCCATATTTTGGTTTATGCTATGTTTTTCTACTTGTAAATATAAAATAAGAAAAATCCTATTCAATAGTTGAAAAACCTTTTCAGTAGTAAAAAACAGTAACTATAATTATTATATATTACAAAGTTTTATACAATATTTATTTCAAAAATAATTATAAAGGTTTAATTAACAATTTATAAAATAATTAAAAAAGAGATACAAATTTCAAAAGTAACTATAAAAGATTACTATATATTTGACAAAAATAATAAAATAATATTACAAAATTTACTTTTAATAGAAAATAGTATTAAACTATATATAACTAGAATAATAAGAAACAAATAATATTTATTATATAATTTTTTTTTATATTAGTAAAAATTTTTTTTTAAAACTGAAATTATAACAATAA